AAAAAAAAAAACCAAAAAAAAAAAAAAAAAAAAAAAAAAAAAAAACCACACACGCACACACAAAGAAAGAAAAATGTGGTATACACAATGAGATATAATTCAACCTTAAAAAAGAAAGAAAGCCTGTCACTTGCATCATGTATGACCCCAGAGGACACTTGTTAAGTGAAACAGGCCAGGGCAGAAAGACAAACACTTGGTTATCTCACTCATATGTGGAATGTAATAAAGCTAAACTGATAGAAGTAGACAGAATGGTGGTTACCAAGGGTTGGGGTGATGCTGATTGAAGGATGTAACATTTCAGTCAGGAGGAATAAGCTCAAGAGCTCTATTGTATAAGACATGATGACGGTAGTTCGTAACAATGTAATGTATTCTTGAAAACTGGTTAGTGCTAAGTGTTGCTAATTAAGTATTCAGAATACTTAAATATTCTGGCCATTTAAAAACAGTAAGTATATAAGGTAATCAAAAAATGTCAACTATTAGCAGTTTCAAATGTCCCAGTCTAGTAATATGTTATTTTATTTGATACCCTGGAATCATTTCAGGTGAGAGGCTTGGGCTTCTGAATAACCCCATGCCCTAATAGGCATTTAAGGGTTTTAATGAAAATAATTACAAAAAGCAATAACAACTGTTAACCTTTTTCAGTTCCTTTGAGTCAGATCCATTATATACATTATCTCCAACCCTCATCACGGACCAGGTATTATCTCAGTATAACAGATAAGAAACCTGAATCTCAGAGAGGTTTGGTGACTTGCTGATGGCCACCTGGTCCTTAAGAGGCAGAGCCAGGACATGAATGAGGTCTGTCTGACAACACAAACCATACATATTCCTGCCCTACACAGGGCCGCGCTGGGCCAATACAGATCAGGGCAGTCACCATGGAGCAGAGGCTGCCCCAGCTGGAGCAGAAAGAGGCTGGGTTTGCAACCTTTGGGGCTATGAAGGTGAGAAGTGGAACTCAGGAGGGCTTTATCCACAGTGCCTGCTCTCCGACACTGGTTAAATCCGACTCAGCACATCCTATCCAGCCCAAGACCCCTTGGGAGAGAAAGGCCCTTGGGAACACACTGTCTCATGTTGGTAGTTATGTGTGTACAGCGCCAGGAGTGCGTGAGAGCCACCTTTCTGCAGTCAGACCTTCCTTTCCAGAAGACAGCACTTGGCTGTGCCACATCAGATTTCATAACCATTTATGTTAATGAAGTCCATTACGGGGACAGGAATGTGCGTGTACCTGAGTTACTCTTGACTGTCCTGGTGGTGAGCAGTGAAGCAGGCTAAATGAGCTCCCCCAGAGGGTGTGGGCACTTCTAGAATTTGGGCTAATTTGTTGACTGCCAATAATTGCCTCTGTGGGAGGCATGACTGGGGGATGAAAATAGCCAGAGTATGTAAATGTACAGAGAGACAGAGAGAGACGGATGGACGCTGGTGCAAAAGCCTGCAGCCTGCTCTACCAATCTGATCTGGAAGCAGACAGCAAGTCCTGGGCTTGAATCACGGCTTTATCACTGACCAGCTGGAAGGCCCAGGGCAAGTAACTTAACCTTTCTGAGTCTTAGTTTCCTCCTCTGTAAATATGGGGACACCAGGAAGACCCACCTCATAGGGCTGTTGGGAGGATTAGAGCTATTATAATGTGCCCAGAACATAGTGGGGGCTCAGGCAGGGGTAGCTATTACTCCAGAATAACCAGAGACTGGAGTGAGCTCCCTGGCCCACTCCATTCGGAGCTGGTCAGAACCTTCCTAGAGGAGTCTAACTTACGAGCAATGGAAACAGAGAGGCTGGGGGATGGAACTTGAAGGTGGGAAAGCATCTGAAAATAAGAGCTACCAGGAAGTGAGGTTAAACTCACTCCACGAGCTTTCGGGAGTTTCAGGGAGGCAGACTCCCTCTCAGTGTAAGGAAAGCACTTTTGAAGGAAGGGCTGCCAGGTGGATGGACTTTTTAAGGGTGGCAGTGAGCTCCTTCTCAGAGAAAGTAGACAAGAAGAGGCTGAACAGCTTTTCTTGAGCTTCTTAAGGACACTCAGGTGGACTTCTACATTGAGTAAGTAGTGGTCCCAAACCATGCATCAAAAAGCACATGAATGCGTATTAAAAATGCAGATGCCTCCTCCTGGAGCGAAGCCCAGAAATGTGTTTCTTCACAGCCATGGGGTAGTGATGGGACTCTATCATTTCCCAGCTTCCATCAGGGAGCCATGGGGTAGTGGTGGGAATCTGTCATCTCCCAGCTCCCATACTGCTCTGAGAGGCAGGCATTGTAGGGGGAAGACAAGGCTTTGGGAGTGAGGCACCTCTACAAAGTTCTCCTCGGAGAGCTCTGGAGGATGGGCAGGGCCTTCCATCCCCCCAGGTAGCCCTCAGGGAGGGATGGTAGCTGCTGGGGCCCGTGTGCCATCTGAGGGCAGTGTGAGCACTTCCCTTCTTTGGATTTAAGGTGAGACCTACAGCAACACTTCCAGGTAGTGGGGACTGTCCAAGGCCAGGTATGGGCAGCTGTCAGGGCTGATGGGTTCTCCCAGCTCCCACTGTGGGCCTGAACAGCAGGAATGAACAATCGCCGCCTCTGCCATGGCAGGGTATTGCCATGATAGCCTGCTGACGGCACGAGCTGAACAGGCACAGGGAAGAAGCAGGCAGGTCTCACACGGAAAAGCTAAATGTCTCTGGAAAAGGGACTTTTGTACCAGGTGGCTAATTCCTGCCAATGCAAAGTGGTGCCTAGATTTCAGTTGCACTTTCTCCAGATTTCACATATAGGTGGCTGCCACTGAGCTGACACAGACCAGTGAGCACCTTTTCTCTGGCAGAATCGTGTCTCTCCCTTTCCCTCTGTAGAATCCTATTGACTCTGCTCGCTCGCCATTCCTGCCACCTGGTGTTAGGGTATAGGTAGCTACTATTTGCTATCTTAGCACGGCCCTCCTGCTGATCCATGAGGGGGGACCTACTCAACTCTGAAAACCCTGTGGCAGCTGCACACTCACCCCTCTGCTCCACAGGAGGAAGAGTGGGAGCTGTTTGGGAGGGAGTCGGGGGGGAGACTTGCCTTTTCAGCGAAGACCTGGTTGCCAGAGAGCTCGGTGAGGTGTAAAAATTCCAAGTGCAGGGATCCAAACTCCGCCAGGATGCTGCTGCTGCCGGCCGTGGCCCAACCCCAGCTCCCGCTGAAAAGACAGAAGCAGCCCCTATCAGCCCCCGCTGGCCAGGCTGGCTCCTCTGCTGAGAGTAACAGCAGCTGCTCGGTGGGAGCACCTACTATGTGCCAGGCACAGAATCAGGAGCTTTCGCTGCACAATTTCAGTGAATCCTCCCTGGACCCATGTCCTGATGAGGACACTGAGATAGTGACTCGTTGAAGGCCATTTGAATCCAGGGCTGACTGACTTGGAATAATCTTTGTTTCCATCATGAAGCAGCCCCTGTAAGACTTGGGAACTTGCGACCTGGTAAAGAGTTATGCTGAATTTACAGATGATGTGGATAATGCGGTCGGGGCCACAGATACCCCACAGACCACCCTGTTGCTGTCCTCTGGCTGAAAGCACTAGATGGCTCACAACCATTGATGGCTCTGCATGGGGAGGATCAACAGTGCTATGCAAACAGGACCGATGAAAAGCAGGGACCCCGCCTCACCCATCCCCTCTCCCAGCACACTGTCAATGCTGCCCAAGGACACGCAATGGCCCCGAACTGGAATTTCACGGAAGCTACATGGGATAGGCAGGCAGCTCTGGTGTGACCACACACCTGAAGCTGTGTACTTTCAAAGACAAGGAATGCAGAGGCAGAATCCTGGTTACTCCTCACAGCTGCCCCTTTGGCAAATGAGGTAAACAAGGCACAGGACAGTGATGTCCCCTGCCTGAGATCACACAGTAATTCGAAGAGCTGAAACCCAGAGCTGGCTCTGATGCCACAGCCTATGCTAACTGCTGTGCAGCTTGCTTCTCTTCTGATCGTAGGATAGGGAACAGGACATTGCCTTTCCAGAGTGTTCACTTAAAGTCTCCCTTAGCATCTGGAGCCAGAAGGTGCAGGTTCAAGTGGTGCTCAGCTGGAGACCTTGGGCAAACCACTTAATCCTTGGGTGCATCCGAAAGACATGGCGAAAGTGATGCCTCCATCTCCTAGGTCCAAGCCTCCTCCTTCCTGGGCTTTTGTGAGGATAAAGAGGAAAAGAGGACACAGAATGGGGGTGGTTCTGGGCAAGCTGCTCCCCCCGCTGTGTCTCAGTTTCCTCATAGGCATCATGATTATCTTTCCTGTGGGACGTTTAGGACAACCAGAGGCACAGGGTCTCTGTAGGAAGGGTGTGGTGGACAGACGGGGGACAGAGAATGGTGGACTGATCTTGCACCTGGTAAGACTCCGGGGTGCAGTTAGTGTGGAGCAGCCTGAGGGGCTGGCTCTGCCAGGGGCGCCTCTGCTTCCTTGCTGGTGGTTGCATTGGCCTCCCAGGAACTGGCCCCTAACTCCCTTTATCTCCATGGACAGGACTTAGGAAGGCAGGTGCGGGGGTGTGGAGGTCACTGTGTGCCACTAGAGGGGTACTGCTTTTCCTGGGGTAGGGCTGGGGCTCCCCTAATGCTGCTGTTCTCTCTAAACTGCATTCTTGGGGCTGGATGTGGTTTCTGGGAAGGTAAGGACACTTACCAGCCTCCCCGCTTCAGGGAGCAGATGGAGGACTTGGGTTTTGAGTCTATGGGGTCATAGTGACCTCAACACATATAGAGACAGCCACCTGCTTTATTCTGTCTCTACTTTCTTGGTTATTTACCTGGCTTGGGGCAGGGGACAGCAGGCAGGGATGGGTTCCACAGAAGGGAAACTTGGCTCCTGATCTGAATAAACAAAACAACTTCCATTTATTGAGCCACTATGGTGTGCCAGGGACAGGGACAAGCTGTTCACATCATGACTTCATTGAAAGCCTGTAAGGTAAAGCATCATTCATACCCCTATGCAAAGGGGGAAACTGAGGCTCACACAGGAAGTGAAGTGTTCGAGGTCAGAGGCAGAAGATGAGGGAGACAGGATTCAAACAGATCTGCTGAGCCCCCCACTGTAAGACAGCCCCGCACCCACCCAGAGGGAAAGAAGCAGTTGCCATCCTGCCCCCTAACCCTGTCCATCTTCCCCCAAGGCTAACTGAGACTTCTCTCTCCAGCTTGTGGTCTCAGTGAGTCTCAGAGAGCTTCCTGTACTCTCAGGGAAGTTTAAGGTAGGAAAAAGCCACCAGCCCTCCAGCTGTCTTTTGTTCTCATTTTCCCTGACAGGGGCCTCTCCTTCCTTCCTCCCGAGTGGGCTTCCTGTGGTGGAGATGCCCTGCCAGACAAGTGAGCTGGCCTGGGCAGAGTTGGGCAGGTAGCTGGGCGCCTTTCCTCTCCTGCCCAGCTTCCAATGCTGGCTTCTCCAGGTCCCAGCAAGGTGACCTTGGGCGGGTGGGTTAACTTCCCTAGACCTCAGTTTTCTCATCCCTTAAGTGACAGCACCCACACCGGATAGAGTTATTGTGAGGTATAAATTATCCATGTAAGTATTGATATTTTTATCATTATGAGGTTATACACATGTAAATTGTTATTGTTACTAAGTTTCTAATCTGTACCAGGTGGTTCTGGTGGTTATTTTACCTTTACAACCAACTTCGGAGGTAGATACCAGTATCTTTATTTCATGGAATGAGGGTGAGGCCACACAGGAAATGGTAGAACTGAATCCAATTCTAAATACTCGGGGTTTTGTGACCCCGAGTCAGAGCACAGGAGGTCCTCTGCTCAGCCCTGTGAGCCAACGGGCCAGCGGGAAGCTCTGCCCTCCTCTCCCAGTCTTTCAAGTGCAAGTGGGCCCCTAGCCTGTGTTCTCTCCCCTGGCAGGAGGGGCTGCTCCACAAGGCCCCTCCCCACCCTGCCTGTAGCTTCTAAGCAGGTACACTCATGAGTATGGTGTAATCGTCAACTTTGGAGGCAGACGGACCTAGATTCTTTTTTTTTCTTTTTTGAGATGGAGTCTCTCTATTGCCCAGGCTGGAGTGCAATAGCACGATCTTGGCTCACTGCAACCTCCGCCTCCCAGGTTCAAGCAATTCTCCTGCCTCAGCCTCCTGAGTAGCTGGGACTATAGGTGCACGCCACCACGCCCAGCTAATTTTTGTATTTTTAGTAGAGATGGGGTTTCACCATGCTGGTCAGGATGGTCTTGATCTCCTGACCTTGTGATCCACCTGCCTCAGCTTCTCAAGTGCTGGGTTTACAGGAGTGAACCACCATGCCCAGCGACCAGACTTGGATTCTAGTTAAGTATGCTCTGCTGCTGTGTGATCTCAGTTACCTAACCTCTCTGAGCCTCAGTTTCTTTACTGGTAACATAGAGTCCCTGTGGTTGCTGTGAGGTTGAAAGGACAATCCATGTCACGTGCTCACCAGACATTAGCAATAGTGAAGATGTGTCTATCTGCGTGTGGTGGGAGCATGCACGTGTAAACAAATATTCATGTGTGAATGCGTGTGCCTGTGTATAGATGCGAGCATGTCTGTGACAAAGACCAGCTTGTGTATCTAGGTCTTTAAGATCTGTAAGGGTGGCAGGAGAGTGTTTGTGTGTGCGTGAGTGAGCACCAGTGAAAGAGATGGCTCGGCTGTAGAGGTCCTTGCATGGGCCTCTGTCACTCTCCCAGAGAGTCCAGTGTCCCTGAAGGTTCCGGGTCAGGCTGGCGTGTGCAGACACCAGGGAGGAGGTGCAGCTCACACCTGGGAACAGCCTCCCCTCAGGATCCTTCCCACCCTGATGTGTGGGGCAGGGCTGGTTACCTCCTCTCCTGCAGGGCCCATGTTCTCACCCCTCCTGTCGGGGCTGCCCACAGCGAGCCCTGCTGGGTGCAACAACGGTAGCCCAGCTCCTGCCAGGAGGCCCCCTTCAAAGAGCAAACTCAGTGCACATGGGCCCATACAGCCCTGCCAATCTCCGAGGCAGGCATTTTTAGCAACAGACTCTCTTACCAAGAACGAGAAGGGGGATATTGCCAGGAAATATGCATGAACGTACATGCGCACATGGCACCGAGAACACGCAAACAGCCTAAAAGCAAACCACTTCCTTAATCAGAAATCTCAGGATTCGTGTCAGATCAGGTCCCTGCTCTGAGAGACCCAGGGAAGGGCTGGGCACAGAAGAGGAAGCAGATGCCCCTAGCAAGGTCCTCCCCCAGACCCAGGGAGGGGGAGCCAGAGGACAGTGTGTTTGTGTCTGGGCTTCATGACAGCTCTCTCTCCAGGATCAGTGCTTACGGAAGAGGAATCTGAGCAGAGATCCAAGAGTCCAGCTCTGAGGAGTCAACGCTGGCATCGAGATGGGGATTTCTCCAGCCCCCAAGGGCTCCCCATCCCTGGCCTATGGTGAGATTCCAATGAGATCGAACCCTGGGAATTCTTCTCGACCACAGGGAGGACAGTTGATGAAGATGCTGAACATGCCAAGTCCTCTTTTTGCAAGACCAGAGAAGGGTGGTGAAGCCCTTGAGGCTGACATAAAGGGTGCGACCTCCCCAGGACAGTGATTGGAGCCACAGGTCCTCCAACTAGAGCCTAGGGTTCCCGCCTCCCCTCCCGGACAGCTGGCTGAAACTTCTGTTGGGTTGAGGCCTGAGATGAGAAATCACTTCAGGACAGGAAGTCTGGTGCAGTGGGAACATCACAGCCTTCCCAGGGTTGGGGTTGTTGGAGGACTGCAAGGATGGCCCAGAGAGCTGCTGGGCGCCCAGGGATGTGGCTTCTACTAAGTAGCTCTATGCAGCACAGGGACCGTGGCTAGGGCTCCCTTGAGAGCGAGGCTCCTGTCCGGGAGGACTGGGGTTCTGAGATCTCCTAGCAGCTTTGGGGACCGCCTCACTGGGGGAGGCGAAGGGTATGATGTGCCTGCTGGCTCCTGAACCCCAGTGGGGGAAGGAGAGTGTTTGGTGCCTTTGTGGAGGGCTCTCAAGTCAAGACAGTGCTGTGGGATGTCCACAGGGGAACTGCCCCGCCCACCCCAGGAGGCTCAGGCCTATGTGACCTAAACCCTGAGACCTAGGTTTGGCAACAAACGTCTGTCCAGGAAAGTCGCTGGCACTTTCACCATGCCACCGAGTCACTGTAGCTCCCACGGCAGCTATGATCCTCTCCCTGTGCCTCAGTTTCTACATCCTAAAAGAATGGGTTTGACAGAGGTGGTCCCAGGGGCCCCCCACTCCTGCTTGTCCGCCCACTGCCCCTGGAGCGTTCTCACCAGCCCCACCCAGAAAAGACACACGAATGGCGGGCATGGTTGCAGCAAAGTCCCGGTGGGGAACAAGATGGCGCCCTACCTTTTGAAGCTCACCACGCCCTTTGGGATTCCCGTTGGGGTGTTGAACGCCGGCAGGAGCTTCTCTCCCAACCTGATGGCCTTTATTCGGAACACCTGTAAAGGAGGGGTCAAACGGCTTGCAACTCCAGGCTGGGCAAGGCAAGGTCAGGCCCCAGAACTGCTGCAGGCAGGATGAACCCCCCAGGGCTGCAGGCCTAGAGTGGGAGGCGTTGCTGCAGTCCACCAGCCGGGCCCCTCCAGCTGCTGGCCATGTGGACTTCAGCAGGGTACTTCTGAGCCTCAGCTTTTGTCCATAAAATAAGGATACTATTGGCCTTCCTTTTTTTTTGTTTGAGACAGTCTTGCTCTGTCGCCAGGCTGGAGTGCAGTGGCGCAATCTCAGCTCACTGCAACCTCTGCCTCCCATGTTCAAGCAATTCCCCTTCCTCATCCTCCTGAGTAGCTGGGACTACAGGCACATACCAGCAGTTCTGGCTACATTTTTGTATTTTAGTAGATATGGGTTTTTACCATGTTGGTCAGGATGGTCTCAATCTCCTGACCTCGTGATCTGCCCGTCTTGGCCTCCCAAAGTGCTGGGATTACAGGCGTAAGCCACTGAGCCTGACCTAATACTGGCCTTCTTAGAGAGTTGTTGGGAGAAATGAAAATTAGATAATTGTGGCAAAGCATCTACCACAGTGTCAGGACTCTGGTGGCAAAGGGTGGATGCTGATTTTTGAGATAGGGTGGCCACTGGGAAGATGAGGGAGAAAGCAGTGAGGTGGGATGGGGGCACCTCCAAATCCAGATGAAGACCTGGCAGAGATGGGCTGGTCTCCAAAGGTCAGTACCTGCCCACATCCCAGAACTATGATACCATAGGCAGAGGGTGTGGGAGTGGGTGGTGCCATTCAGACAGACTGTCAAGGGCACTGGACTGGGAGCCAAGATCACCCTCAGGTTCCAGAGACCACTCCCTCCTGGGCAGCAATTTCCCTCTCCTGTGTAAGAGCAGTGGACAGACCTGTTTCGCTTTTACATCCTGATCCTGCCCACCGTGCCCATTTCACACACAGGGAATGAAGGGAGGGGCTGAATGGAACCACCTTCATTCCTCAATGACCCACAAGACAGCAAGGGAACTCCAGGGTGGTCCTAGGTCTCACGGCCCCAGCCTAAGGTTCTGACTCCCTCAAACTGTTCTTCTGACATGCCTGATTAATTCAAAAGGACCTGTGACCTTCTGACCCAGCCGTTTCCTGCCTGGGAATTTATTCCGAGGAAATAAATAATCGAGAATGTTGTAAAGACTTATTTATTCCAGCACTGTTTAGAATAGTGAACAAAACTGGAAGTATTCTAAATATCAAATGATAGGAAAGTGGTTAGATAACAGCTCCATGAAACAAAATACCACACAGCTCCTGAAATGATGGTGTAGGCCGGGCAGAGTGGCTCACACCTGTGATCCCAACACTTTGGGAGCTGAAGCGGGCAGATAACCTGAGGTCAGGAGTTCAAGACCAGTCTGGCCAACATGGCAAAACCCTGTCTCTACTAAAAATACAAAAATCAGCTGGTCGTGGTGGCCTGTGCCTGTAGTCCCAGCTACTCGGGAGGCTGAGGTAGGGGAACTGCTCAAACCCGGGAAGCAGAGGTTGCAGTGAGCCAAGATCGTGACACTGCACTCCAGCCTGGGCGACAGTGAGACTCTGTCTCAAAAAAATAAAATAAAATAAAACAAAACGATGCTGTAGAAGAATATTAACAGCAAAGAAAGGGTTTATAATCTGTTAAGAGAAATACATTTCAAAACATTGTAATTCAACTTTGGTAAAGATTCTATGGACATGAAAGAAAGGAAGGACATACCACAAAATATGAATATGGTATTTTAGGGGGGTTAAGCTTATGGATCACTTTTATTTTCTTTTGGCTCATCTCTATTTCCTGTGTGATTTTTATAATAAAAGAACTCCCACAACAAACGTTATTTATTTTTAAAAGATGAGACACAAGCCCCTAGGAAAACACTCAGAGTGGGGAACACATGGGCCTTTTCACTTCTGGAGCTTGAAGGGGCCCTGGTTTGCTGACCTCCTGTGGTCCTTGCGAAACAAAGCCTTCTTGAGTCCTGCCCCCACTCCCCAACAGTTAAATTGCTGAGGCAGCTGTGTAGGGAATGCAGTGGAAGGGGAATTTCAGGACACTTTAAACCAGGAGGTGGACTTGAGGTCTCTGGGGCGGGGGTCTTCTTCCCAAGGGAGGGAGGGCCTGTGCTGGGGGCTGGCAGCGATGACGGGTCAATGTCCAGTGCCAGACAGAGGGACCCAGAAGTGGGCACAGGGCCCAGCCCCATCAGATCCCTTGGGGAGCTGCTCTAGGATTCAGATTCCAAAGCCCAGAACGACAGATCTGCTCTCTGGGGGATTCCAGTACACAGCCAGGCTTAGTAATGACAAAGGGCTCTCAAGCCCTTGGTCGCACTGAGGCTCCTACATCTTCATTTGCCCCAGGGAGGCTGTCCAAGGTGGACAAACAAACCCACCAGAACCAGAGCCCAGATGCTGAGGCTCCAGGCAGCTGTCTGGCTGTCCTCGGCCCTGGGGACGCTGAGCTAACACTTCTTAGACGCTCCTCTCTTCCAGCCAACCACGTCCTCTCCTCTGAAGGCCTGCTGCTGGCTGGCACCGCAGGTCTCAGCTGTCCTCGGAAGCATGCTGGGTGAGTGTGTTCAGACAGGAGTGCCAGGTGTCTCACGTGCCTGATCTCAGCCCTTGCAACAGCCTGTGGGGAAGGCACTAATCCACTTTGATAAAACTAAGTCTCAGAGGAACAACTTGCTTAAGGTTGTGGAGCTGTTAAGGGGCTCTTTTCCAGGACACCAAGCTGTCTCTCCAACATAGAGATACAGCCTAGGGGCCACGGTTCCAGAAGAAAGGTGAGAGAAACCAGCAGGGAGTACATTCTATGGGGTGGGAAGGGCACGGGGCTGGGAGGCAGTGCCCGGGTGCGGATCCTCCCACGTCACAGCGGTGTGGCCTGGTGCGCCCCGCACGCTCACCGCACCTTGGTTTCCTCATCCGCACAACACCATGGTGGCACATGCCCCAGCTGCTGCAGGGGTCTTTGTGGAAATCAAATGAGAGGATGTACAGAAATGAATGTGCTTTATAAACTGTGAAGTGCCGTGCCAACGTCGTGTGAGTTATTCTCATGGGCACTGAGTCTCGGAGGACTGGGCTCCCCAGCAGGGGTCTTCCCCTGAAGCTGCATCTTAAGCAAAAAAAGGCCTCAGCCTAGGAAAAGTATGGGGTCTCCTTCACCCTTCATTCCATAAACATTTGTGGAAAGTTTTTCTGGGTTCTTTTTTTTTTTTTTTTTTTTTTGAGATGGGAGTCTCATTCTGTCACCAGGCTGGAGTGCAGTGGTGTGATCTCTGCTCACTGCAACTTCCACCTCCTGGGTTCAAGTGACTCTCCTGCCTCAGTCTCCCGAGTAGCTGGGACTACAGACACATGCCACCACGCCCGGCTAATTTTTGTATTTCTAGTAATGATGGGGTTTCACCATGTCAGCCAGGATGGTCTCAATATCTTGACCTTGTGATCCACCTGCCTTGGCCTCCCAAAGTGCTGGGATTATAGGCATGCGCCACAGCACTCGGCCCGTGGGAAACTTTAAGAATGGAAAGACCCACTCAACAGGCACCCACTGTGTGTGAGCTAAGGGAAGACAGAGGCCTCAGTCTGGTGTGGCTGAGCCCTGGTGACAAGCAGTGACTCCGGGCCAGGCTGTGACTCAGGCCCATAATGCAAAGGCCCAACACAGCCCTCAGAGACTGTGCAATCCTGAGCTAGTCACTTCTTCTAAGTCTCAGTTTCCTCTTCTGCAAATCAGTGATCACATGCACCTGATGGGGCCATCTGAGGCTCCAGTGAGAACGCACACTGTGGGTAATACCCCCCATGGGCACCGAGGAAGGAGAACTGTGCAGACCCTAGGCACAATTGGTACCTGAAGTATAACTCACTGCTTACTTACATCTAGTCTATATATATAATCATACTTAGCCCCATATAATCTTTCTATATAATCGTATAATTTACTGCTTACTATATCTAGCCTATATATATAATCATACTTAGTTCTATATAATCTTTCTATATAATCATATAGGTATTGTAGTCGGAGCTGTACTGACACATTTAGTGCTGATTTATAAAATCCTTCTCTATAACCATATAGTTGTTTGTAGTAGGAGGAATGCCTAGAGCAGTCACAGAACAGAAGCAGTACATGGGAAAACAGCCAGACCAGGACAAGAACCAAAGACCCAGGCGGTGTCATCCCTGCCCGAAAGGGCATATGCTGTATGGCAGGCTTGGAGCAAGAGCCTCTCCTTCTGATAAAGGAGTTGTAGTACCTTGCATCCAGTTCCTGTGGAAAATAGGCCTCAGGCCTGAGATCCTGGAAATAACCAAGAGAGAAGAACCCCTCTGGTGTGACCAGTCACGGCGGCTGTACACCCTGTCAGTCTTTTCTCACTTCTGTGCTAGCTCAAATCATCCTCCCATAAATATCTTAAGAGCACAAGTCTGCCAGCTCCCACTGCATTGGCTTCCAGTATCCTTCTATTAGAAATCCTCTGAAATCTCCAGCTCCCAGATAAGAATTGTTGTGCACGACACCTGTTGCACACAGCCCACCTCCTTGCCTCGGTGACCTAATGGAGGTGGACCCCTTTTCTGTACATGGCCCCCTACTGTGCACGGCCCACCCCTCTGCCCAGGTGACATAATGGGGTGGCCTCCTCGCTTGTGACTCCTGTGATTATGTATGCCCTATTACTAAGCCTATAGATGATGACCTCACTTACGACCCTGCCCCCTGCTTATACCTAAATATAGATGCTTCTGGGCATTTGGGGCCCCCGCTGATCTCCGCTCATAGGTGGCGTGGCCCCCCAAGTCCAGATGCTCTTCACCAGTTCTTCAGTGTCCTGTCTCTTTACTTCTTGGGTTCTGTATCTCAGCACAGCATAAGGGACACCCCACTACCCTGTGGGACCCAACAGCCCTACAGCACACGAGGCACACAGCGTGGCATCTGGCTCAGGGAGGTGCTCTGGGGACAGATCAGGAAGGTATGGCCAGAGGGCAGGGGCTGCACTGACAGATGCAGAAGGCTGTCTGCCCACCCAGGGATTCTGGCCACGTTGGCCTCTCCCTGAGCCTTTTGAGCTGTTTCTCAAGTCACAGATGCTCCTGTCCGCACCCTACTATCTGGTCTAGGTTCTGGAAAGCTGGGTTGCTGGTCCCTTTTAGGAAGTTAAGTCTGCAAAGCAAGTTCTCAGAACCACAGATGCCCTTGAAGAAGGAAGGGAGGAAGGAAAGAAAGATGCAGGGAAGAGGGAAAGAAGGAATGATGAATGGAAGAAAGAAAGGATGAAAGAAAAGATGGATGGATGAATGGAAGGAAAATGGATGGAAGGAGAAAAGAACAGAAGAAAAGCTGGATGGAAGGAGATGGAAGGAGGATGGAAGAAAAGATGAATAAAAGAAAAAATGAAAGGAAAGACAGATGGAAGGAAGACAGAAGGAAAGATAAATAGAAGGAAGGATGGAAGGAAAAATGAATGAAAGGAAGGAAAAACAAAAGACGAGACAAAAGGAAAAATGGATGGAAGGAAGAAAAGATGAACGGAAGGAAGGAAGGATGGAAGGAAAGATGGATGGAAGGAAGGAAGGAAAGATGGATAGAAGGAGAGGCCGATGGAAAGGGGGCAAGGACGGGAGGAAAGATGGACAGAAGGATGGAAGAATGAAAGGAAAGACGGATGGAAGGAAGGACAGAAGAAAAGATGGGTGGAAGGACAGAAGGAAAGACGGACAGAAGAGAGGAAAGATGGATGGAAGAGAGGGAAGGAAGAGAGAAGCAATGTGTCTGAGCAGCCACCAACTCTTTCCTGAACTACTCACCCCCAAAACACCCTGAGAGCGCAGAGTTGTGTCCTCCCCTCCTCCTTCCTGCAGGCCATCTCCACTGACCACGACCAAGCTGGGAGGCTGGGCACATGCCCTGAAGAATGCGGATGCTTTTTCTGTCATTTCCCTATCCTGGAGTTTTCAAATGAAATTCAGGCTCTGGGTGGCTCAAAGCCGAGGGCTTCCATCTACAATTATTTGGGGACAAATTGGTACAAGTGCTAATCTCTGCTGAGGAGATTATATTCTTTTTTTTTTTTTTTTTTGAGACGGAGTTTCGCTCTTGTTACCCAGGCTGGAGTGCAATGGCGCGATCTCGGCTCACCGCAACCTCCGCCTCCTGGGTTCAGGCAATTCTCCTGCCTCAGCCTCCCGAGTAGCTGGGATTACAGGCACGCACCACCATGCCCAGCTAATTTTTTGTATTTTTAGTAGAGGCGGGGTTTCACCATGTTGACCAGGATGGTCTCGATCTCTTGACCTCATGATCCACCCGCCTCGGCCTCCCAAAGTGCTGGGATTACAGGCTTGAGCCACCGCGCCCGGCCTAGGAGATTATATTCTATGGAGAGAGGCCTGGAGCAACTGGACAGATAAGGCGCCTGCCTGTTGCCTCGAAACCCTTGACTTCAGCCCCTGTCACCTTCACAGATGAAGGGAAGCAGAAATGACTTTCCAGGCAGCCGCAGTGGAGGTGAAGAGGGATTATTCTGTGGCTGGCCTGCCTCACTTCCAGGGCTCCTGGGGTGGCCAGGGGCAGGCATCATTATTTGTCTCTGGGTGGTCAGAGCAGGGGGGGCGTTCAGCCTCACGGCAGCCCCTCTGAATCATGGAGAACAGAACTGACTAATGACTGATGTTTTGGGGACTCGGCCAACCTCGCCACCAGATTATCTGGGCTATGCTTTTACTGGAGCTCAGGAGGAGGGATGAAGAAGCTTCCTATTTCTATAGAGCTCTGTGGTTTTCAAAATTCTCTCGCAGGAGGGAGAATATGGGCTTTGGAGTCATCAGCCCTGGGGCACCACCCTTTCCTACCATGTCCTAAGAGCTCTTTGAGCGAAGGGGTATCAGAACCATCCGTGCTGGGGAAGGAGGCGAGGCCCAGGGTGGGAGAAGGCCATGAGTAGGTTAGGGTGGTGTGGAGTGAGGGCCACGTGTCCTGACCGTACCGGCTCTGCCTCCCTGCCGCGTGCCCTTCCCGGCCCTCCTTGTGGAAGCCAACACAGCTCACCTGGGGGCCAGGCCTGGCACTGGCAGCATTCAGCAGTGGCACCCCACCTCACCTGCTGCCCCTGTGAGACCTGGAGCAGGTATCTGGCTGGTGGTTGGCCCAGGATGGGAGGGCAAGGGGTGGCTGTGGAGGACAAGGCCTGGGGGTCTTGGCTTTATCAGTCCTGAGAACCATCACCTGTGAAAACCAACCCAGGTGTCTGCTGGCTGCTGTGGATAATGTGTGGACCCAGCTGCTGCTCTCAGAGAACGTGCAAGCACCTGTGGAAGCCAGCTGGGCTCACCTGGACAGCAGAATGGAAGGATCAGAGAGTGAAGGAGGAAGAGCCATTCACCTTTGCTGCTGCTGCTGCTGCTTTGTGATAGTCAGCCCTGGGGGACCGTCAGGGGCGGTACCAATATGCCCAAGATAAGCAATGACTGATCAAGCAGGGTGGGAGGGATGGTCTGGGGGAAAACAGGCCCTCAGGGGCAGACATCGTGGCTCCAAGCCAATCCCTGCTTCCTTAAGTCTCTTTTCCCATGGGTGGCATGAGGGGGTAGGACCGGAAGTTCTCCAAAGCCCTTTCCAGCCTGGACAATCCAGGGGTCGTGAAGGGCCAACCCACCTCTTCTCCTGTCAGGTAGAAGGCTGAGAGGAGTCCCCCGATGTAGCGGATATTCACCTCAAACAAGGACGCTTCTCCACTCTGCAGGACAGAAAGGAGGGGGACAGTGGGGACACCCATAAGACACAGACCCTTGAGACATTTCACCCTGGCCACCGATATCCCTCCCATACCTGTGCCCAGCTCTGGGGGCCAAGCAAGGTGGTGGTGGTTCTTGTAACCAAAGTGGAGAGGAATGAGCACCTGCCTGGCAGAGCTCCTGCAGTTTCCAGCATTCCAAATAAATGCTGGGCTTGGCTTCCTTCCCCAGCCCTTGCCAAGGCGACAGCAACAAAGTGATGCCTGGCTGGGCTCCAAGGAGCGCCAGAACCTGCATGGAGAGCTGCTGGCTGGAGCTTAGGTTGAGGGGAGGCAAATCCCACTCTGACCAGGCTACTTCCCCCTCCTGGGGGAGACCCCAAGGCTTAGCAGGAAGACAGCGAGGTCCTTCCCTGGTTCTCTGAGGCGGCTGTGGGGGCAGACAGGGAAAGGCTGGGGCTAAGAAGGAGGAGTCAGACAGCTGCATATTCAGCAAGCAGCAGCTTCTTGGGCCCTCAGCTCAGAGCGCGCAGGACATGCCCACACTTGCCTTAATCATTTCTATTTTCTTTCCTAAGTTGGGACTACAAATCAAGGGTGCAGGAGCATCACACCAGGACCAGATCTGGGGTAGATCCCACCTGAGCCACTGACCTGGCTTTGGCACCTCAGGAATGTCGTGCAGCCTTTCCCTGCCCCATTTCTTCAGCTGCAGAAGGGGGCTGCCAACCCCTCCCATGAAGGGTGGACAAGGGACACAGGGGTGCTGCAGGGAGAGGCTTGCCCACAGCTGGACATGCCTGGTGTCACCCTCTTTGCCCCAGAGGGTTCCCCCAGCATCCCCCCAGCATGCTTCACACACCACCGTCTTCATTACTGAGAACGGCAGTGCTCATCTGTTAACCCGGGGGAACTCTTCCACCCACAGAGCACCGGCAAAACCACTCCCTTTCAGCCTCCCAGGGCTTGGTGAGGTCGGTGTGGCAAGGGTCATCATTCCCATTTTTCAGATGAGAAAGTCAAGGTTCAAGGTCGAGTGACCCCACCTCGCTTTCTTCCAGGGACATCTCCTCACCTGCCCCACCTGCCTGAGTGTCCCCCAGCTCTTAGGGCACTGCAGGTGCCTGCCTGAGCCCGTTCTGTATCTCAAAGAGCCACTGTCTACACAGGGGACAAGGCGGGCCTATGGAGACACTCCTTCCTTCTCCTTCCTCTGTCTTTCTCCAACCCAAAGGAGACTAATGGGAGGATTCTCAGCTTCTCTGGCCTCACACAAGCAACCAGAAGTGTCAACAAGCCTCAAAATAATCTTAATAATGACAACGGTGACATCACTTTACATCAGCATCAGACTTCACAGTGTTATAACATGTGGTCACAATCCTCCACTGTATTTAATCCTCATGATAAGCCTATGAATTAGGCATTATTAATATTGTTGCTGTGGTCACCATTCTCATTGTAGAGTTGAGAGACCTAAGGCTCAGGGAGGGTAAATGACTTTTCCAAGAGCTTCAGGGCAGCCAGGAATCCAGAGGCCTCTGTCTCCAGGGAAGCTTCCCTAAAGTGTTGCATTCCTAGGCTCTCCCAGACTGTCTCTCCACCCTGCTCTGTGCTGGCAAACTCTCTCAAGGGCGCAGGGACATCACTGCTACCAGGAGCTCCAGGAGCCGGCCCCAGACTCATCTGCAGCAGGAACTGGCAGTCCTGGAGCTGCATGGAGCCTGGTGTGCACTTGGATGTGGCCCCTCCCCTCACCTGCTATCTCCACTGCTCACTCCCCAAGTCCATGTAAATAGCATCTCTCCTTGGGGAGCTTACCTCTGGGATGCATGCATTGCTTTAGTCTGGGCTGAGAGATCAACAAGATGGTGTCTGGTGTTTAAGGCTTTTGTGCCATCCAGACACATGACCATCCCCTCTGCAAGGCCCTGGTCCCCGACCAGGTGAGCCTGCAAGGCTGGAGACCAAGAGGTTCCAGGCCTGGTCACACGCCTGCAAAGGGACCCACTCCATGCCCACCCCACCCAGCCCTCTCAATAGGTCAGTGCAGGGGGCGCTGAAGGCTAGAGCAGCTCTGAGCAGATGAACTACTTCCCCTGCCACAAAGCCATTCCCCACTAGCTGCTGCTGCTTTGTGTGATAGATTCAGCCCTGGGGTGCCATCCGGGGTGGGAGCAATGACTGACCTTGCAGGGAGGGGACGGATGGTCGTAGCTGTGTCCCCTCCCCAGGGAAGATGCTAGGCTGGGGAGGATGTCCCCACCTCGAGGCTGTCTAAGGGAGGGACTCGGCACAGAGTGCAGGACAGCCCTGGCTCTGAGGCTGCTGGGCTGTGCAGCCTTGGGTAAGACCCTCAACATCTCTGGGTCTCAGAGATGATGGAGGGAAGCTGGCTGTTGGGCCTCTTCTTGCCCCCACACCCCGAGGGCCTCTGACTCACCACGTTCAGGTGGAAGCTCTCTTCTACCCAGGCCTTGGCCTCCTGGAACTCCTCCTTCAGCTCCATGAGGTAGAGGGTGTCAAGGGAGTCGATGACTGTCGCCCCGCTGAGGCCTCCTGCAGGCACAGAGCACTGAGGGTGTGACCAGGGCCATCCTTCTCTTTTCCACAACTGGACAATCCATCATTCCCAGGGCCCCTCTGATGCCAGTACAGGCTTGGCCACAAAGGCTGGCCTCGGGCACCATCTGGGGGACTCCAGTGCCACCACTGAAGGCGAGGCCGAGACCCAGAGTACCTCCATGGGCTGCCTCCTCCTCAGGGCAGCAAACAGTGGCCAGAGAGACGGAGTGCCCAGGCTGAGTCACTTCCCATACCTCAGTCCACTCTTCTGTTGGTCAGCAGGTCAACTATCAGTGCCAGTCAGGCACCCGCTTTTCTCTGCTTTGACATACAAAAATCTTTTTTTTTTCTTTTTTTTCTGAGACAAGGTCTCACTTTGTCGCCAGTCTGGAGTGCAATGGTGCGATCTTGGCTCACTGCAGCCTCCACCTCCCAGGTTCAAGCGATTCTCCCACCTCAGCCTCCCGAGTAGCTATGACCACAGGTGCCCACCACCACACACAGCTAATTTTCGTATTTTTAGTAGAGATGGGGTTTTGCCATGTTTGCCAGGCTGGTCTCGAACTCCTGGCCTCAAGTGATCTACCTGCCTTGGCCTCCCAAGGTGCTGGATTATAGACGTGAGCCTGCACACCCAGCCTGGCATGCAAAAAATCTTTTTATTTTGGAGACAGAGTCTCATTTGGTTGCCCAGACTGGAGTGTAATGGCGATATCTCGGCTCACTGCAACCTTCACCTCCTGGGTTCAAGCGATTCTTGTGACTCAGTCTCCCAAGTAGCTAGGATTACAGATGCATGCCACCACAACCAGCTAATTTTTGTATGTTTCGTAGAGACAGGGTTTCACCATGTTGGCCAAGGCTGTTCTCGAATTCCTGGCCTCAAGTGATCCACCTACTTTGGCCTCCCAAACTGCTGGAATTACAGACGTAAGCCACCATACCTGACCCCAAAATCTTAACTGTACCAATCGTCTGTCTCTTCAAGGTTAGTTGTAGCTAATGAAGGTGAACTGCAGCTCAAATATAAAATAGGATCCATGCAGCCATCCAACAGGTGAGGTAGGCCTGTGCCTATCTACCTGGGGAGACGTCCATGGGGTCTGCTTTTTTTTTTTTTTTAAGTAGGTTGCAGAGAAGCACAAAAACATAGTATAATTCTTATTGTACATCAAAGTGTAAGTGTACAGTCTGGTTGGAATCACCCAGTGACTACCTCTGAGTGCTAAGATTACAGGTGCTTTTTAATTTCTTTAGTCCATGGGTTATTTTTTATAACCAGAAACTATTTCTATTACCAAAAAAAGAGGAAAGTTTGGGCAAAGAAACTAAACAAATGCATAAATGAAAAAGTTGTGGCCATTCTCATTCTAGTGCATGAATGAGCTACGAGGCCTGTCCCCCACCACTGGGCATCAGGCTCCTGTCCCGGGAGTAAAGGCTAAGATTAATGCAAAATGATGGTTTTCCAGCCCATGACCCAGACAGGAGAGTAATGAGGAAGACAGCCTCTGGCACAACCAGAGCCTTTTGCACTCAGTGCAGAAAACTGTGGAGGAGGAGTGGGGGGCAGAAAGAGACATGCCTGGTGCCATCTGGAGGGCTTCCTGAAGGAGGCGGCTGACTCCCATCAACTCCCTACAACTACAGAGTCATTGCAGGCAGCAGCAGCTTCCCTTAGGGACCAGAAAGCAACCCTAAGAAGAGTAATTGTTGCCTCAGTGTCCTCCCTGCAGAGGCGGAAAATATTGAATCACAGGCTCCACATTCCCCAGTGGGAAACTCTGAAGCCTGTTGAGTCTGCAGCGTGTGCTTTGTGGCACCTCCCAAATTCAGAGTTGTCTCTTAACTCCTCAATGAGTGCTTCCTAACTGCTCACTTGTGGTGAATGAATGTGGAGAATCCTTCTGAAAGTCACACACTTAACCACCTCTCTAGGCTGAGCAAGGTCTGAAAAAGGATACAGCCTGGAAAAGAATGGAAGTGAGAAGGAAGATGAGGCTGGAGGTCGAAAATCTATTACCAGAAGGAGGGCTTGTCAGGGAGGGAGGAGAGGGCTGAATGGACCCAGCCATGCACCTTGGGATGGGCTGGAGGTCGAAGAATCTATTATCAGAAGGGAGAGTTTGCCAAGGAGGAAGCAGAGGGCTGGAGGGACCCAGCCCTGCGTCCTGGGAGGGGCTGGAGGTCGAAGAATCTATTACCAGAGGGGAGTTTGCCAAGGAGGGAGGAGAAGGCTGGAGGGACCCAGCACTGTGTCCTGGGATGGGCTGGAGGTCGGAGAATCTATTACCAGAGAGGAGTTCACCAAGGAGGGAGGAGAAGGCTGGAGGGACCCGGCACTGTGTCCTGGGATGGCTTCCCAGTTTGGGCTGAAGTTAATTTCCAGAATGTCAGCCCCTCCCACGCTTAAGGAGTGGTAGGAAAACACATCCCAAAGCCAAAACAGACTTGATCCTTTGCCGGTTCATCCCAGCTGCTTCTCCTGTAGGTGGCAGGACTGAACAGAGTTCCTGGCCCATATCCACCGTCTCGAGGGGCTCACGCAGGGAGGCACTGAGGAGGCCAGGTGGACTGAGCAAGGCAGGTGGGGCCTAGAACAGAGGGTGCAGGCCTGGTGTCCACGCTCCTGGCTCTACAGCTCGGGCCCCTTCCTGTTATATCACAGGACCTCAAGCCAGACATTTGAAGGGGCTGGAGGAAAGAGGATCCTGCTGCCCCTACCCCTTCATTGTCATAGATGAGGACCTCAGAGAGGGGAAGGGACACACTCAAGATTGGACCAAGGGAGGACTGGCCCAGCCCCAGGCCAAGTGGAATGTGTTTTCCATGGCATCGGCATCACAGGGCCTCTCAATTACCTGTGAAAACAATTGCAGATCTGATTGCTAACCCCGCACCCACTCTGATGAGTTACGGATTCAAGAGAGGCCCAGGTTGTATGTTCTTCAAGGCCAGGGAGAGGCAGCCCGCAGTATCTGATTTCTGAATACTGCCCTGGGCTCCCTGGTGTTTTCACCCCATGTGCCCTTCTTCTTCTAGATCAGGCCGGGAGGGCAGCCAGGGCTCCTCGTGACCAGCTCTGCCCCGTGACGTCTCTGGGGACGCTCTATGCGGCCAGCTGAGAAAGCAGCTTGCTAAGAGATTTGTTGGCAAGCTCCTGCCCCTGCTCTCAGGCTCCTGAATCCTTCTCTTGGCTGGCCTCCTACCCCTGATCCCACCTGGTACATGGCTGAGCTGCAGTCCAGCAAGACACTTACTGGAAGGCCTTTCATTCCAGGCCAGAGGTTACCCAGCGGTCAGGCTGGGCAGGAGAGAAGGCCTTATCCTGAATTCAACCTTATTTGCACCTGCAACCACCTTGAGGCAGCTCCCCAGGAGGAAAGACACACTCCTTGTTCAGTAAACAGACCATGGCTTATATACAAAGAGCCAGCTTGGATGCTTCCCTAGGGCTGCGGCTGGGGCAGGTTCCATGTTGGTCCACTTTCCTGTTCCAGTTCTGAACCCATGGGGTTCACCCCTTCCTGCCAGTGCAGGAGGCAGTGAGGTGTCTTAGAAATAACACAGGCCCAGGATTCAGCAGCCCCACGTTCAAATCCCACTATGGGCCAGCGATGCATCTGCTTTAAGCATCCAAGTTCTCATCTGTAAAATACTGGACCAGGGCACTGGGGAGCCATTGCAGGTCATTGCGCCAGGATAAATACATCACACACACACCTGGCCTAGATACACCTGATAAATACATCCTCTATGTTTGGCACAGACTAAGTGCTTGATAAATCTGTTCGATGTTATTTCTGGGGTCCCTTAGTTCACCTTGAAATAGTGGCCTGGCCAGGGAGTGAGTAAGAGCAATGAGGTGGGGGAGACCCTCTTGGTCCTTTCCTTTGGGAGGGTTTGGACCTTGGCTACTGAATAAAGCCTTTGCAAGGCAACCTCACACACAGCTAAGAGGCTGGCTTTGGTGTCAGGGAGATGCATGTTCAAATCCTGGTCCCTTACAGCCTAGCTGTGTACCAGGGCAAACCATTCTACCTCTTTGTGCCTCATTTCCCTCATCTGCAAAATGGGGTGACACTAGGACTGACCTCACAAGGCTCCTGGGCAGGTTAAATGGGGTAAGTTGATGGACAGGGGCTGGCATGATACTGAGTACATGTGGCCCTCCTTCCCCTCACTGGCACTGGGCAGCCCCTCCACAAAAATCTTCTTGGGTGAGGCCTTGGGGTACAGCTGCATTCCTGGCCCTTTCCCTCACCCTGCAGGGCAATGTGGGAGTGACACTGCAGCTTGCAACTTAAAGGAAAACTGCCTTGTAGGTCCCACCTGTATCTGCTGCTGAGGCCATCACTACCTGATGTGGTTGTGTAGTTGCCTCCAAAAGGGTCCTCTTGCCTCCAAGACCCCTTCCCTTTACCTCTTATTCACCCTAAAATCAGATCCAACTTGGGTCTCTCCCCCAGCTCAGGAACCTCCAATGGCTCACCAGTACCCACGCAGGAAGGGGTGCAAATTCCTGCTTCTATACCTTTGCACATGGTCTTCTCTGCCAAGAAAGCTTCTCTGTGCATCTTGGCATGCTCAACACCGACACATTCTTCAAGGTCTGTCTCCCAGGGGCAGCCTGACCAGGTTCCACTAGCTAACCTCTTCTTGCCTGGAGAGTGCCCACAGCACTTTCTTGGGCCTCTGTCTTGGACACTCACCACTACCTCCCTGCACTGGGGCCCTAACTAGACTGTGAGCCCCTTGAGGTCAAGGGTCCCCACTGCCTCTCTCATGCCCCTCCCCACCGACCTTCCAGCCTTGTCTCCAAGCATCCCAAATGTGCCCCTTGCCATTCCCTGCAGCCTCTTCACGCACCGCCACTTTCATGTCTCCTACAAACTCTTCCAGGAACTGCCTTGCCCCATTCCGCCTTCTCCTGTGGAAATCTAGGGCCCACCTCCAATGGCTCATTGCTCACAAAGCCATGCATGTGGTCTCACCCTCCTCTCATGTCCAGCGTAGAGCCCTTCCTCTCTGAGAGGTCTTCCCCAACCCCCCATCCCATGTCCACATTCTGGGCCCCTACACTGTGCACCTCCACCTCCCCCATCCTCATCTCATGCTAAAAGAATCATGCGTTTCCCTGTTGCTGTCACTTCATAATAGTGGGGACTGCAGTCTGCAACTGTGTCCTCCCCACAGTGGGACGGCGGGAGGGCAGGAGCCAGGCTGGTCTCCCAGTGTCATGAATCCTGGCTCCTCGCTGGATCTTGGCCATCAGGCTGCCATTCTTCCTCTTGCTTCTCCTTCTGCCCTGAGATCGATTCTTCCCAGTCTCCTGTGCTGGTTTCTCCCCATCTCCTCACCTCTAAACCCTGGGGTGCCCTGAGGCTTTGCCTTTGGCCTTCCTCTCCATCCTCCCTTATTCTCTTAGTGATTTCAAATCTTAAAATCCATCTGCTGAGGCTGGGCATGGTGGCTCACGCCTGTAATCCCTGCACTTTGGGAGGCTGAGGCGGGTGGATCACGAGGGTCAGGAGATTGAGACCATCCTGGTCAACATGGTGAAACCCCATCTCTGGAAAAAAAAAACAAAAAAAAAACGTCCGGAGAGAGATCCTAGATGGCTGATCACTAGCAGCTTGGGATTGTAGCTCCCAGTGAAAGCGCAGAGAACGAGAGGACGCCACACTTTCAGATGAATTTTTGTTGCTCACGTACCAGGAGATTTCCAGTGGAGGAGCCCCACAGGTCGCCAGCATGACTCTTGTGGCTGGCGAGGCGGTTTTGCCACCGCCTTGGTGCAGTGGTTCTTGGTGCAGAGTCAGAAAAGCACCAACAATCTTAACGCCACTATTTTGGCCGGTGCAGTGGGTTGCTCAGATTGTAGCACCGGGAATCAACAAGTTGGATGTCCACTCAGAAACCCAACTATAAAGATGGTAATTATAAAGACCACAGATGGATAAATCTATAATGAAGGGAAGAAACCAGCCTAAAAAGGCTGAGAATACCCAAAATCAGAATGCCTCTCCCTCTACAGGGGATCACAGTTCCTCATCAGCAACAGAACAAGGCCTGATGGAGAACAAGTGTGTTCCATTAACAGAAGCGGGCTTCAAAAGGTGGATGATAAGAAACTTCTGGGAATTAAAAGAACTTGTTCTAACCCAATGCAAAGAAACTAAGAACTTTGAAAAAAAGTTTGACGAAATGTTAACAAGAATACACAATTTAGAGAGGAATATAAGTGAATTAATGGAGTTGAAAAACACAACACGAGGGCTTCACGAAGTATGCACAAGTTTTAACAGCCGAATTGATCAAGCAGAAGAAAAGATATCAGAGGTTGAAGACCAACTTAATGAAATAAAACGAGAAGACAAGATTAGAGAAAAAAGGATAAAAAGGAACAAGCAAAGTCTCCAAGAAATATGGGACTGTGTGAAAAGACCTAATCTATGTTTGATAGGTGTACCTGAATATGACGAAGAGACTCAGTCCAAGCTGGAAAATACGCTTCAGGATATTATTCAGGAAAACTTTCCCAACTTAGCAAGGCAGGACAATATTCAGCTCCAGGTAATACAGAGAACACCACAAAAATATTCCTCAAGAAGACCAACCTCAAGGCACATAATCACCAGATTCACCACGGTTGAAATGAAAGAGAAAATACTGAGGGCAGCCAGAGAGAAAGGTCAGGTTACCCATAAAGGGAAGCCTATCAGACTCACAGCAGATCTCTCAGCAGAAACCCTACAAGCCAGAAGAGAGTGGGGGCCAATATTCAACATCCTTAAAGAAAAGAACTTTCGACCCAGAATTTTACATCCAGCAAAACTAAGCTTCGTAAGCGAAGGAAAAATAAAATCTTTTGTGAACAAGCAAGCACTCAGAGATTTCATCACCACCAGGCCTGCTTTACAAGAGCTTCTGAAAGAACCACTACAAATAGAAAGGAACAACCAGTATCAGCCTTTCTAAAAAATACCAAAAAATAAAGAACATCAACATAATTAAGAACTTGCATCAACTAATGGGCAAAACAGCCAGCTAACATTAAATGGTAATATCAAACTCACATATATTATTATTAATTCTAAATTTAAATCGACTAAATCCCCCAATCCAAAGACACAGACAGGCAAAAAAAGCCAAGACCCATTGGTATGCTACATCCAGACCCATCTCACATGCAAGGATACACAAAGACTCAAAACAAAGAGATGGAGAAAGATTTACCAACCAAATGGAGAGCAAAAATAAATAAATAAATAGAAAGCAGGATTTGCGATTTTTGCTGATAAAATAGACTTTAAAGCAAGAAAGATCAAAAGAAGCAAAGAAGGATATTACATAATGATAACAGGATCAATGTAACAAGAAGAGCTAAAGATCCTATATACGCACCCAATACAGGAATACCCAGGTATATAAGACTTATAAAGAGACTTAGGCTCCCACACAATAATAGTGGGAGACTTCAACATCAATATTAGACTGATCAATGAGATGGAAAGTTAACAACGATATCCAGGACTTGAACTCAGATCCAGAACAAGTAGAATTAATTAACATTTATTGAACTCTCCACTTTAAATACACAAAATATATACTCTTATCAGTACCACATCATATCTATTTACAGGTTTAAATGAAATATTGGTTGGCTGCTTGTTAGTTATTTTCTTCCCTCATTTTTTTTTTCATGTCTCTATTATTAAACACAATTATAGGCATACCCATTTTTAGACTGCACTCTAGCCCGGGCAATAAAGCAACACCCCTGTTCTCTCTCCCTCTTCCTCTTCCTCTTTCTTCCTCTATTTCATTCTTTTTTATTTTATTCTTTCTTTTTCTTTCTCTCTTTCTTCTAAAAAAAAAAAAAAAAAAGAATGATTCAATGGACTGTGGGGACTGGGGGAATAATGGAAGAAATGAGGAACATAAAAGGTATTTTATGCAAATAGTGACAAAAAAAAGCGATGAAGTGACTATATTACAATAAGTCAAAATAGAATTTAAGACAAAAATTTTCACAAAAAACAAATGTTTGTTATACATTAATAAAATAATAAATTCACCCATTTTTTATTATAAATTTATTTATAATAAAATTACAAACATATATGCATAAAACATAAGAACTTTAAAAAAAAAAAATCCATCCGCTGGCTCAGGCCTATAATCCCAGCACTTTGGGAGGGGAGGGCAAGGTGGGCAGATCACGAGCTCAGAAGTTTGAGACCAGCCTGGCCAACATAGTGAAACCCAGTCTCTACTAAAAATAGAAAAAAAGGCCGGGCACGGTGGCTCAAGCCTGTAATCCCAGCACTTTGGGAGGCCGAGGTGGGTGGATCACGAGGTCAAGAGATCGAGACCATCCTGGTCAACATGGTGAAACCCCGTCTCTACTAAAAATACAAAAATTAGCTGGGCATGGTGGCGTGTGCCTGTAGTCCTAGCTACTCGGGAGGCTGAGGCAGGAGAATTGCCTGAACCCAGGAGGCGGAGGTTGCGGTGAGCCGAGATCGCGCCATTGCACTCCAGCCTGGGTAACAAGAGCGAAACTCCGTCTCAAAAAAAAAAAAAAAGAAAAAGAAAAAAGAAAAAAATTAGCTGGGCGTGGTGGGGGGGGCGTCTCCTGCAATCCCAGCTACTTGGGAGGCTGAGGCAGGAGAATCACTTGAACCTGGAGAGTAGAGGTTGCAGTGAGCCAAGATCAGGCCACTGCATTCCAGCCCAGGCGACTCTCTCTCTCTCAAAAAAAAAAAAAAAAAAAAAAATCCATCTACATGTTGATGACCCCCAGATTTAAGTACCTGCCAAGACCTTGTCCCCAAACCCCAGACTCACATATCTAACTCTGCATGCGCAGTTCCACTTGAAGGCCTTCGGGCATCTCATGTTTTACTGTCTGAAAGCCAAGCCCATGCCTTCCTCCAGACCTGTCCCTTCCACAGTCTTCCCCATCTTGATTAATGCCAGTGTCCTCCTCCCACGAGCTGCGGCCCCCAACCCTTGACTCTGTCTTGCACCCCCTCATTCAGTCCTGCAGCAAATCCTGCTGGCTCTGTCTCTGCAAGATTTCCAGACACTGCCCACATCTCACCTCCTCTGTGCAACTAACCCAGCCACCTCCTCTCTCTTGCATTTACTCCATTGGCCGCCTCCCTGCCCCCCTGGCATGTACCCTTGCCCTTTCCTCTTCCCCCACCCCACCCATCTGTCCTCAGCATGGCAGCCAGAGACATTTTTTTAAAAAAAATTCAGTCATATCATGCTACTCCTCTGCTCGAAATCCCCCCATGGCTCCCATCTGACAGAATTGAAAGCCTTAGTCCTTCCCGTCCCTGGGGCCCTGTGATCCCCCCTGGCTCCCTCACTGCCTCTCCTTCTCTGCTTCAGCTGTAGGCTGTCCCTTCAGCCTCCGAGCCTGCTCCTGGCCTGGGCCCTGGCAGCTGTGGGCCACTCTGCTGAAACTGGCCCTGCCCTCTCTGGCTCCCCACAGCCTTCATCACCAGGGGTATCAGGCACGAATCTGCTCTCCCAGACACTCTGTCTTCTCCTGAGGGGTTGGCTCCTACGGAGGAGAACTCAGTCCACTCCTGCCTTCCACTGCCCAGAACACTTTCCAGTGCCCACGGAGGCCTGTAAATATTTAGTAATGAAAGGCCTCCTCCCACTAGATGGGGAGGGCTTTAAGGGTAGCTGTGGTGCATTCATACCTCCCAGTGCCTGGCTACAGTCTGACCCTCAGAGGCATTAAAGGAAAGGGGTTGGGCTGAACAAATGAGCCCATGGCATGGGTGTCTGCGGTGACCACATGCAGAGCAGGGTTAAGTGTCTACTTTAGGGGCTGCCACCACCAGACAAACATCCTCCTACCACGCTGCCCAGGGTGAGGACGCGCCCAAAGCCTCGCCCCACACAAAGTTTTCTGTGAAGAGCGTGTCAGTCTCCACAGGGAATGAACATCTAGCTCCCAGAAGCTCCTCCCCAGGGGCTGCTGAGCCAGGAACCAGCCTGTCTTCCTGGATCCTGGTCAGTATCCCACCCTGGTGACTCTGCCATATTAGTGATGATGACGTTTTTATGTGATATCATATTAGCAAACAGAAATGGTCAGGGTGGCCATACAAATTCCAGGAAGAACATTTAGAAGAAAAAAATCACCCAAGGCGTAGCCTATTACCACAAAATCGCCAGAGCCACACATTAACGGCTGCATTTAATTTAATGACATAATCAGCAGAGACTTCTCTTCCTCTGTAAGGAAACCACACACGTGTTTTTCTCAGCATCCATGGAAACCCACGTGGCTGTGT